TATGGAGTGCTTTCTTCACTCCTGCATCATTTTCCTTGGTCATCATCWTATTTCAGGCAGCAAGCAGGGTATTTTACCAGTACCAGCTATTAGGATAACTTGCAAAACAAATACTTTGGACTGTACAGTCTCCTGTTTGTGAGCAAGCATGACCTGGCTTCAGRGTAAAATAATTGAAAACAGAGTATCCCACTGTCAGCTTTTGTCATGTAGAATTATTTAATGTAATCAGAAACATTAAAATTGAGTGAGAGGCAGAAACATAGCTCAAGACTAAATGAAACTGAGGCAGAATGCCCATCTTTGTCCACAGCAACTCACCTACGGAAAGCAGAACAATGTTCTCTAGATAGTTTTATGTGTGGGTCCCAAGAATCATTTTAGGAAGGACTCTTTGGAAAAATTTCTTTCTCTGTTACCTGTTTTCTTTCCTTCTGAGAAGAAAGTTATGCTAATAYTCTTATGTGTAACAGTAGAGACTCCTACTCTACCATTACCATTTCTATCATTCACTAAACAGTCCTAAACCTAAAAGGTAAGGAGTGTGTTCAATTTTGTGTTTGCTTTTTCCTTTATTTAACATTTGGGCTTTGCCTATTTGTCTTCAAATCAGCAAGTTACAGTTACTTTTCCACTGGCAATTAGCAGCACAAAACATTTTCCATGAGGCAGGTGATAGYTTAACTCACTATTTATCCTAGAGGATAAGGTCTATGGGTAGATGTGGCACTTGGGGACACAGTTCAGTGGTGGACTTGGCAATGCTGGGTTAATGGCTGGACTTGATGATCTTTAAGGTCTAAACAATTCCATGGAGTAGCAGATCCATTCATATACACTCCACTTTAATCTGGAAGTCTCAGGTGGCTGGAGGCACCTGCAGCACACAGGGCACATGCCCAGTGCTTGGGAGAGAAGCATTTCACCACTGCTACTCAGGATTACTCATCCCAAAAGTACCAATGCACCCATAACCAAAGTACCTGGCTTTCCTGAAGTTCCAAGGGTCTTTGTTTTTGTGGCTATGCCTGAACTGTCCTTCCTTTCCTTCTGTGAAGAAGCACCATCTGTTTACTGAAGATGAATAATATGGCAATGACATGTAACACTGTTTTTACATCTGAAACATCCTCAAAAATCCTGAAGCTGCAGAAACAGAGAAGCCCCAATATCCTCCAGAAAGCCCTTTACCTCTCTGCTCACTCTGTTCTTATTATTTCTTAATCCCAATTCTGAGCCCTTCCTACCATCTTCCACAAAAATAAAGATCATCAAATACATTGAAGTATTATTTTGACACTACTTAGCAGGAATTTGTGCCAAAAAAATAAGTGAGGGAGAAGGAAAGAAAGAACAAGGAGCTGTAAGYTGGGTTTTTTTTTAACAGAAGGCATGTCCCAGGAGTTCACATTTATCCTCACAGGTAATCAGCTATTTTAGTCTCCTCCTCTCTCTAAAACCTCACTCTAAGGAGTGCAAACACCAGCAGAGAACACTCAGGCTTGGTGTCTGTTACAGAAGTGGAGGTTAAATTTTAGCCCCAAAAGGTAAAGTGAACAGAAGGGGGCAGGCTGGCAGAGAGGAGATAAAAATAGAAGAGTGACTAGACTTCACTTGACAGCTATTTCTGGATGAACTATGGAAAGAGACCTGAGAGGGTTTTCTATTTGTAAGGGAGACAGAGACCAAAACACAGTTACCTCCTAGAAGGCCACAGTCCTGCACAGCAGTTTTGTTTATGCTTCTGCTTTTCTAAATCCCTGTGTTCCCACTATTTGGAAACAGTACTGTTCAGCCAAAATGTCATTATGTGTCTAAGTGAGAAGCCAGACGAGATTTTCTGGAGCAGGACAGCAATGCGTGTGGCATTTCAATTTAACAGCAACAAAGCTGACAGCACATTGTAAAACTGGGCAGYAAATCACAATGCCAGAGTAAACTGAGGCACACAGTATTTTAGGAAAAGAACCAAAGCCCCACAGTATCTCCAAAAGGACATCCTGTGTTTTCCCACCCTAAAATGATTAGTGAAATTCTAACCAGTTCCAATTATGGACATGGATTAGCAACAAAACAGGGACCTTCAAATTACAGCATGTAGTGCTTGACTGACCTATGGCTCTGGRGATTAATATTTTTGCCTGTTCAATCCCTTTCTTCTTGAGTACCTCTGTTAAAATTCCTTCCATTGAGTAATTTCTATCCAGATACTGGCTGTGCTGGCTCTGTTCCCATTTAAAAGAAAACCTGCAGGCAGAAAGCAGTGCCATCTGCCCAGTCAGGAGCTGCTTTAATGGGCAASTTTGATGTGAAAGGGAACAGCCTATTACACTTTATCTTCAGCAGCAGGAGTGATGTTCTTCCTTTCCCAGGAGCAGGTTTCAGCAAGCACTCTCATGCCTGAAGTATTTGTCCACAAATATACATAAATCTCAATGGATATGTGCAAGCAACCTCCAGAAAAAAATCCATCCAACATCCCTTTTTTTCATGTTCGACTCRCGAGTCAGTCCATTTTTCCTTACCTGTCATACCAGTTGGGTTTGTTCTGTGACAGCTTCATCAGCCTCCACTTTCTATTCCTGTAAGTGAATGATAACCCTGCCATCACACCTGAGAAGAACGAGCAGTGGCAAGGCCCTGTTGTCCCTACACAGAGAATTCTGCTATGAAGCTGTTCCTAAATATTTTTTTTGCTAGCTTCTTACCCCTTTTACATAACAGCCTTGACTGGATGATTTGCTCTGAAGTGTCATCTGGAGCAGGTTTGGGACTTGTGTGGCCCAGTTCAGGTTTCACAAGAAACAAAGAAAAAACTTCCTCTGAATATTTTCATCCTTGCAAATACCTTCAGGGCTGGGGAAAGATCTTTCTATTCTTGCCAATTAACCAAGCAGAGTTTTTATCCCTCCTTGCTGGGCAATCTTCTCACCAGACCATCTTTGCAGAGAGCAGCGGATTCTCTCTGGGCTACTGGCAGTTTTACTTAATTGCATGTTTAACTTTTTATTCAGCACTTAAACCCATAATGATGAGAAATACACACATGCAAGCAGCAAACTATTATCTGCCATTCAAACTCCCTGGAGAACTCATAAACATCTTAATATTGCTGCCATAATTGTGTCCCTTTCAGAAGAAAAGTGCACACAATTCCACAGCTGGATGGAAAAGGGGATGACAAACATATAAACAAGTAAGTTCAGAGATATGTTGGCCATTGCTAACCTGTAATGACTGGGGAAGGRTACGTGGAACTTTGATCTTTAATAAACATTAAAATTTCTGAAAAAAGACAGCCAATTCAATCAGTGCTAAACAGAAACTGGTATTAGAGACTCCATCATAGGTTCCTCCAACCCCTCAAGCAGAAGACATTCTATCAGGGCACAGCAATTTCCATTCTCTTCTCCCTCTCCCCAACTCTGAGGGCTATAATAAAAAATATTCCAGACACTTATATCCTTTGGAATATATTTTCTACTTGATTCCAGAGCTACAAAATTTGCTCTGGAACATACTTTCGGCCACTGGATTGTCCTCTGGAATGGCAACTTCTGTTTTAAAATGCTTCCAGCCCTTATGACTGCAAAACTTTTGAAATATGATTGATCTCTAACCAGCAACAAMGCCACTGAACTCTTGAGAAAGAGCAGATCAGCTTCAACATTAACTATTATTCTTCATCACAGTATGCTAAGTTCAGAAATTAATGTTGCTAGCATTCCAGAAGAACCTGATTAATGGATCACCTAAGAGTTACAAAAACTTGACACTCCCCTAGGCAGGTGCAAAACCCCAGTACTTGCAGCCTGTTTGTCAAAGCCTCCAATTTCCCCATGATAAAACTCYGTGAGTCAGCTACGTGAAGCCAATACAAAAGAGTATTGTATGTGATAAAGTATAGAAGAGTGTTGGAAACATGTGCATTAATCAGCATATTATTGTAGTATAAGCTTTTCTAGTTCCTCTATTAAATTTTTTTTCAATAGCCAAGACTRCCAGGTATTTCCAGCCTGCTTGATCAAAACACAAAGGCTTTGGTGGGCACAGCAGTTCTGTTCAGTAGTGACCATCTCCAGGTCTTGGCAGACTCTCCAGGTGGCCACTGGCAGATCCACCCTGTTCCTAGCACACATGGAGTGAGGTTAGGAAAAGGAGGGATACCTGAAAGCCTCCTGGACATCCCAAACAATCACATTAACACCAGCAAGGAATCTGTAAAATCTGTAAGTCTCATGACAATTACTTCAGTTGGTTTTAGTCTTCTCATACTGAACCATCCTGGTTCTCATTTAGGCTGGTTTCTTTTTTCCTAATGATGAGATTTAAGAACAGCAGGGAAATTTACAAGTTTAAAAGCTGCAGAACAAAAGGCAAATAAGCTTCATGTTCTCTAATGARTGGTTATTGCTCCATTTATTTAAGTTGCACTTATCACCATAAATATCTACTAAACTCACTTGCCATACTGGTGTAATCAGTGCTTTCCCAKGAAATATCCTTCAGTAAATGGATAGCAAAAATAAAGTAGAAAAATAAATTAACAACTAGAAATGCTCCTTAAGAAAAATCTTCAAATGGAGGAAAGATTGWAGATCAATGAACATTTAAGTATTTCACATCTTAGGCCTATTCATTGCACAAGATCTAAAATAGTTTCCTTCACGAGTATTGCATAACATGTTCATTCAAAATTTAGCGAGTTTTCTCCCAGAATACACCAAGACATGGTTCTCTCCCCCGCTTTTTTGTCTTTTAAATATGAATACCAGAATTTAACAGCTGATAACATTATTCTGGAAAATACACAGAATATTCTGGAAAAGGCTCAAGCTGGCCTCCAGTGTTGCAATGGCAAATGTTTCCTCATATTCAGATTATTCATGCATCACTCTTTGTGAAAGGCAAGCAACAGAACAAGGAGCTTTTACAGGGTTCTGGGAGCAAACTCTGGCCTCCAAACCATAAATAAGGAAAACACCACAAAATGCACATACCTTCAAAGCACATTTCTGGCCTGTCTCCTTGTTGAAACACTCCAGTACTTTGCCATTGATTCCTAACCCYAGCACCCTTTTCGATAGTTTGTAGTCATCTGTGACTGCATGTTTTTTTATCTCTAGTTTGACATGGGCCGTTCCCCCAGGCAAGGATTTCACACTGCTCTTGCTCTCCACTTGACTCTCTGCCTGGGATTCCTGTTCACCTTCACTTTGTTCCATATCAGGGAAGAGTCTGGGATGACAGAGACACCCGACAAAGTATCCTGAGGGCCAGCAGAGTCCTTTCTCTTAAGCAATCAAACCCAGTGCTTCAACCAGTCCATTTGCTCGCCATTTAGTCCTGAGTAAAAATGTAAACAACTGTTAGTAATTAATGTCTACTAATTGTTCTCCCACCTCACTGGTTTCTTTTTTTTTTTTTTTTTTTTTTTTTTTTTTTTTTTTNTTTTTTTTTTTTAAAGCAAGATGACCACATGCTAGAAAGAACAAAAGTGGAGGGTCACCTCAGGAAAGGACACTTTGGCTTTACCGATCAGTCACCCCAGTTCCAATACACACAGCTGGAGATATAAATTACTGCTTTTACTGCAATAAAAAGTAACTGAGTAACTGCTGATCTTGGAATAACACTACAGCTAAACTCCGTACAACAGAGCAGAGCTTCAAGCTTATAAACACGCATCAACCACTTGTTGCCTCTATGTTTTATGTAGAAATCCTCACAATGGTCCCCTGCTTCATCCCGACACTCCCAAATGACGCAAGAGAACCACGAATACCTGGATTGAACCCCAGGGCGGCACTGCCTGAGGAGGCACCGAACCCTGGGACGGGACTTTAATTGCCTGAATCCACAAGCGAGGGGCAGGGACCACCAAACCACCCAAAAACTGGAGTACGTGGAGGTGCCATGGCAGGGTTCCCAAAGCCGAGCGGGTCCCGCTGGGGACTCGGGGGGATCCCCGGGGCGGGTCCCGGTGCCAGCAGCCCCGGTACCACGAGCAGAGGGGCCGCTCCTCAGCCCCCCGCGCTGAGGCGGCGGCGGAGGGCGGGAAAGCCCTGAGGCGAAGCCGGGAGAGCGGGGGGAGGCGGCGGCGGGAGCCGGGCGGGGGCAGCTCCACGCCGGAGCTCGATTACCTGCCTGTGGCGGCGCGGCCCCAGCMGAGGCTTCCCGGAGCGGCTCGGGGAAGGCGGGCTCTCCCTAGATCCGCCCCGCCGCCCCGGGCAGGTGCGCGCCGCCTTCCCGCCCCGAGCCGCCGCCGGCGGGACCGGCCCGAGCCCCCACAAGCGGGACTGGGCTGGGCCCGCGGGGGGGCTGCCTCGTCTGCAGGTTGCACTGTTTGGGTTCCCCTGAACAACCTGTGGGGAACAAACCCCGCGGTGATTTTTGAGGTGATTTAGGGCGGTGATTTTAAGCACGATATTAATTTATTGGGGTAAACGGCGCTGATAGAGGGGGGAAATGAGGCTGCAGCGGCGGCGGCTCCGGGCTGGTACCGCAGCGCGCCCGCGCGGAGGCACCGCCGGCCCTTCCCCCGTTGGCTCCTCTGGGAAGAATCGCCTCGTTCGCTCCAAACCCTGTGTTTAACAGGCTGTTGCAATGRCACTCGATAGTGGGCAATGATCCTTCAGGCGCTGGGCTAGCAAAAGGGTGCTCTCACTCCACGCAGYCACTAAATACGATCAAAGACGCGGTCAGCGTTTCTCGGCACTTTCAGATGCACAGTCAGGATAACAAAAGTGATGGTTCCCACAGCAACTGCCGCTCATCACTGGTGCACAGAGTGTGGTTCCAGGGATCTGAARTGCTGAGGTTTTTTTCCCTACATGTGAAGATGAGTCATGCATCGAAATGGAGCTGTATTCGTATCACTGGAAAGAGCTTAAAGTTCACATGCTTTACAAGTTAAAAATACATTTGTCATTTTACGTAACATAATGGCATCTGGAGTTCTAGCAGTTAGGAAAATAATTAAAAGGGSCTAATGAGCCCTTTCTCCAAGGAATAAAAAGTAGTTCAACTTAGCAGGATGCAGATCTGCAGTACACCACCATGTGATGCGACGCTACAGCTATTTTGCCTCAGGTTTCCCTCCCAGACTTTCAGCAGTTCAGCTGCTGGAGGGCCTGGTCCTCTGATTCAGTTCACCTATTCTGGGCTAATCAAATCCCTGAGGAAAACAGCTATTTCCAGCCTTTACACGTTTAGCTGCCAGCCTTAGTCTTTGCATCACCTCCCACTGTGGTAGTCTCTGAGAAATGTATATGTAACTGTGAGCTCCCAGGTTACAAACCTTCAGTAACATGGTTCTGCAGTCAGCAGCTTGCTCTGATTTTCCTTCCCATGGCTTCTGCCTGTATTTGCTGTTCTGTTTGTCCTGGATGGTAACTAACTCCTCTTTGCAACAGGTCCTCAATGCTCAGTCACTGGGTGCCAGACCCTTCMGAAAACTTTTAAATCTCTCTCCTCTGGTCTGCATTTTTAAATTTGAAAAGCATACTTGCTTACACCCATCTGCAGGTCCCATTCCTGGCCCCACTTTGGATCTTTCCATGTAACTCTCACCCAAAAGCCTAYGGCTGCCCAAAGCAAGCAAGAGTTACACTGACTAGCACATTGAAGCTGGTAGAAGGCGATTTATGGCTCTATTCTTGGAAATATTAAATGTTGCAAAAATTCCAAGCAGATGTCTACTTAAGGGGTTGCTATTTTTTGCAGTGTGTCAGAAGTAAGKAATTTCATTAAGAAACTATGACTCTTTCTAACTATTACAAGAATGAGTTTCTAAAAAAATAATCTGTGCATGGAAAGCAAGGAGGAAAGAAGAGGGAATAAGACAGGATGTGTGAAATTACTTGGTTTTACATGTCTCAGTTATGAACAGTCTCCTGATGAGGAAAGTTAGGCTGGGAGGATATAAAACTCATTTTTMAAGTCACTGGGTATCTCACTGGGACGAAAATCTTGTTTGGGTTCACCACCTGATACTGCCTGGATATGCTCTTGGCAAAGTTCATCATTTTGCCAGCAGCCAGTAATAAATTTAAAGAGGGAAAACACCTTTAAAATCCAATGTGAATCATGGTTAATRAGGCCTTACATCAAACCCTCTGCTAATTTTTACCACCATAAACTCCTAAAAAGCCTTTCCAGCACCAGTCCAAGTATCAAACAGCCTCACTCTACACAAGGATGACCCCAAAATAAAAAACAGCTCTTGAAGCTTCTCTGTGCTTTGGCAGATGGAGCTGCAGTAGCATCCTCTGGAGATGCTGATGGAGAATACACTGACAGGCCCACTGCAGTTCGTTGAGCTGAGGGACATTTTTCACTCAAACACATGCTTTTTTTTTATTTATTGATGTTTGCTTTTTGAAGTTAAAAAATCTCCCCAAAACAGAACTAATACAGGCTAAGAGCCCACTACAGCAAAACTTCTTTCATCTTTGTAAAAATCCTAAAACTGTAAATTAAACATTAATCCTATTTTTACCATCAGTTCCCAGCAGCAACAGCACAAAACTGCTTAAATTTCAAAAGAGAATTTGGTAGCTCAGCTATGCCTGCTTTGTCCCAAAATATAAAAAACAGCTAATAGGAGAAAATAGCAAATATTAAGGCCCTGTTCTTGCAATAAGTTTTGGGGMAGCAGCTCCTTTCCTCTAACCAATTTTAACCTGATTAAGCTTCTTACTTTAGCCAGCACACAGTTTGGATGCATTTCCCCTGATTTTATCATGTCTTGGATATCACAGATATCTGCTTTACAGACAGACAGCACTACTCAGTTTAAACAGAGAGGGGTAATTTTGGCTATTCCACTGGGTATTTTCACTGCCTCTTTGCCATGCTGTAGCAATTYAATAACTGGGATCAAAGACATTCCAGACTTTCAAATGTCTCATTTCCTAATAAAAACAAAATGAAATAACTGAGTTTGCTGTCATCTGGAGAGCTARGAAAGGTGATGTCATCGAATGTTCTCTGAGGGATGGCATACTTTGAGCAGTGATACCTGAATGCTAGAGGGATCTCAGTTTACTGAGATCAGTACAAAAGTGATTTGGGTGGAGGTCAGCCCTTTGATAGCAATGTCTCACAGAAATTCCATCAGCTATGATAAAGAAATTATCAGTTGAAAACTAGTGACTTGTTTTTCTAAATCTTTGCTTCCTCTGAGTAACAGCTCTCTATTTATTTTCTGCTGTTATGAGAAATCCACTCTCTGGGATGCATTATATAGATGTCACCAAAGAGAAAATCTTCTGTATTGTCAGRTTGAAGTGAGGACACAGCTTTGTCTGGTTGGGCGGTTGCAAAAACCTTATTAAATCCCCCAGGAAGTTTGTCAGAAACTGCATCTGTGATATTGAAAGAAATAAAGGGCAACTCTACAGAGTAATATTTTGATATGAAGGAGAATAAAGGCAGCTTTTTGTAGGATCTTTAGTTTAGTCTGTCATGTATACAGTGGTCTGAAACACAAACTATATGCATGTTTTTTTGCCTGTCTTTTGGCTCTGCTCAGGAGCTGTCTGTCTCAGACTTATCAAAAAGGAATGAAAAAAAAAAACCCAAACTGTAAAAGCTCATCAGCAAACAGCCTGGCTCTTTTCTCTCACAGCKGACACAAAACCAGGTTTATAAAGCTCTTTCATAGGCAATGATCTTTASTGATATTTTGTTGCTAGAACAACTTCTCTTTTATTCTCAACATCCTCTGTCCTGACCTGGGATTATAACATGGTTTCCAGGAGGAATTAAAACCCTGGCTATGAAGCRGCTTCTAGCTAAGGAAAGGGAGGTTTCAAGAACACCACTCCCACCATCTGGAGAGCCTGTCCTAATACCTGACTTCATTCCTYAAGATTAATTCCTCCACATTAGCACAAAGCAGGTATTTTCCTATAGAAATACAGAAGAGGATAGAAAAGCTGCTTTTATACACCTGGCCTCAGACACCCTATTACAGGTACTTTGTCTCAGTCATTGAGAAGGTTTTGGAAGGCTATCYATGTTCCTCCACAGCTCATTGATGGCAGAGCCAGAGAGATACCAGTCGGACATTTCCATTTCAGCAGAGAGGGAAAAAAAAAAGATACATTTTTTCCACAGAAGAATCATAAATCAAAATCATAAAAAACCTTCTAATCTGTCTACGGRAGACAGTGCTTCATTTTATGCTGCAACAGAGCAGAAGAAATTAATCTCTTTCATTGAAACATCCTGCAACGAATGGGTATGACAGCATTGCCTGGTAGTCCTGGGGTGGCCTTCCAGGCCTCTCAGGAATACAATTTTTGCAGAGAATTCAAATCAAGCAGCAAAACTCCTAACAGATGCCACACTGCAATCACCTTCTAGGTCACCACATGCCAGCAAGCCTTGRGACAGCAAATATGTTGAGTTCCTTCTAACAACCCAGGGTATTTTTTCACAGATTGAAATGAAATCCATTTCTTTCTATGCATCCCACTTCTCATGGAGCCAGCTCAGATGTCCCTGTATCCATGGCACAGCTCACCCACACCATGGAAACTCCTCCATTGTTCCTCACGAGGTTGGGAAGCCAGAACAGTAAGTTCACCACCTGTTGTTGATTACAGAAATTGGTGTGTCCTACTCGAATAACGAGCTGGCCCCTCTAAACAAGCARCAGCTGCTTGTTATTGTTAACTTATTGTTGGGTCACTCCGTGCCATTCCTTACAGTACACACAGGGTAAGGGCCGGGCAGTAACCCAAGGGGTGACTTACTTCAGTCTTTCAAGCTTTTGGTTGTAAATCAAAGCATTGGAAAGTAAATCYAGTCTCCAGGCATGAAGACCTCTCTCAAGAGTTACAATTCTCTTTTCATTTACAACAACTCGACGACATTACAGGAATGCCCAACCGCACAGAGGAAGCCGTGTGACACCCGCAGTGGGAAGGGACTCTGGCCACGGGTCTTCCCAARCACACATTTAGCAGCAGATGGTGCTGTTGTGTCAGTGAACTTTACTGATGGACTAAGTGCCTCATGATTTCTGGATTTTCTTATTTCCGTGACTTTATTGCAAGCTTTGAGCTTTCTTCGGCACCTTTCATACCTAAAGCCTAGCACTCAGTGATACTACTCAACAATATTTCTTGCTACCGCCTCTGTAATGTCCTAATTCTTCCAGAYTGAACTCTGGTGAGCCGTTTATATGAATATAAATCGGGTTTAAACAACTAATTTGTGTGAATGGCAGCAATTTGCATKGACTGTACAAGGCCTGGGACACCAGAACATCGGGCACTTTGCTGCTGCCCTCTTCGGGCATTGCCGTGTGCCCGAGGAGTGCCAATGAGAACAACGTTCATGAACTGGGTGCTTCTGACTTCAAACTCACCACTGATTTCGTAGATAAAACAGCCCAGGCATTAGCAGGAATACTTTTTTTTAGGTGTCCCCTAAAGAAGTTTCCAATGCAAGTACCAGCTCCTTTCAYTGATGCTCACACGCATCAGCTACTTCGAGTCCATTCTCATCTATTCAGGTCCTGCAGGACCCGTGAGAAGAGCGGCTCGGTACATGCGGTGACTGCGGCTGGAAAACCCCTGCGGGACAGCGGGACGTGAACTGGGAGCAGCCGCTGCCTCCCCAGCGCCGATCCCCCTTCTGTGGGGAGATGTTCCCTCTGCACGGCTCCTATCATCGCTTCCCTGCCCGGAGATACAAATGGCTGCTCAACCCCCAGCACAGAACCTGCACGAAAAGCCTTCTCCGGGCGACAGTCACTAGATGGAGCCCAATTCTAAGTGAAACAAAGATGCAGACAGCTCCTCACTGCCGGCGCCGGGCTGCAGCGCTCCTGCCGGCTCACCAAGCTGCGATCTCTGTCCCCTCCGAGGATGTCGACAAATTAAATACCTTCCGAAGGTGCAGGTTCACCGTGGTTTGCAGSAGACAAGAGCTGCTCGGACCTCTCWAGTCTAGATCTGTTCAAATCCATCGTGCTGCCGCACCACCGACAAAAGGGTTAACGACCTCGGATTTAGATGTGAAAGGGCACAGCCACGCAGGTGTCCCCTGCAACCTGAGCCAGGACTACAAAGGGGCCTTCGAATGATCGTCTGAATGTTGTGTTTGCTGTGGACAGGAAAGGGGAGGATTGAAAYTCCTCTGCCAGCCCCTCGCCTCCCCCCTGAATTTACACATATTTAGAGAAAATGTGAGCTGAAGCATCTCTAAGGCTCAGAAGCAAACTGGTCAAGGAATGCCTGCAGGCTGACATTCCCACCCCTCAAAGTACCTASATGGATAGATACTCAAGATACTTAGATGGCCCTCAGCACCTCTCTCTTCGCATAGCCGGGTATTATTAGCAGCACTCATCACCGCGCTGCCCGATTCAGGACAGAAAACGGATGGAAGTGTGCAGGAGGCTGAGCAGCAGCCAAATGAAACTGCAGGGAGTGAAAGACTGAGTCAGGAGCCGAACACAGGCTGCCTGCTCTCATGCTCATGCCCACRGGAACACCCTTTTAACCTCACCTTATCAGCATCCTGCCTTCCCCTTTGCTCCCGGCCCCATCCACTTCTGAATGGCACAATGATTACTAATATTTAAGTATTCAATCTACTCCAATGGAGGTGACAGAGAACTCTCATCTCTTACCTCTGATACGTGAAGAGGTGGCAAGTCGTGGCAGGAAAAGAATGGCCAAGCTTTTGTTATAAAATATTCAGAAAGAGAAGGTTCAATAACCCWGAAAGAAACCGAAATATTTCCTCCTGGGTTGCCAAATTTTAACTTGACAATGATCTATAAACGCAGGACAAATCGGTGGTGGGTAGCCTATTYAAAGAGACTTTGCTGAGCTGATTCRCAGGGGATTCCCAGGTGACCAAGAGAACCCTTTAAAGCCAACCTATGCACTGTGACAACCACACAATCGCTGCCCRGAGTAGCAGAYCCTGCAGCACACCACCCTCCTCCTRYTYCCCAGGTTTCACTGGAAATTGCCCCATTCCCTGTGTACCCATCCAGCCCCACGGCCTTGCCCCTTCCCGAGCACCCGCTGCCTTCGGTGCTCAAGCGACCCGGAGAGGCGCCGCCGGCTCGGGGACAATGCTGAACCGCCGAGGAGAGGAGGCATAAAAAGACACAGAAAAACGACAAATAAAGAACAATGAATGGAAATGGCACATAACTGCGAGTAAATCAAAGGGAGCCGTGGCGAGCAGCAGGGCGCCGGGGGAGCTGCGCACAAGCCCGGGCAGGAGGCGGTGGGCGCTGCCGGCTCCGCCCCGGGCGGGCCCCGCGCATGCGGCRGCGGCGCCCATTGGCAGCGCCCGGCGCGCCGGCCCCGCGTTCCTGGAAAGTTCTTGGAAATGGATCAAAGGCGTTTCCGCGAACACGCGCGGCGGCGGCCCCGCAGAGCTTCCCCTCCCTTCTCCTCTCCTCCCCTGCTTGCCCGYCGGGAGGGCTCGGCTCCGCTCCCCTCCCTCCCCCGGCCATGGCAGCATGGACGCGGCCGTGCTGGGCACAGCTATTTATACCTCTTTTTTTTTTTCCCCTCCCCTCGTGGCTGATAGAGGAAGACTGATGCGAGCACAATACGATTCCAGGAATCCCTCACTTCCTGGAACAGATTAAAAGGGACACACAAAAGATTACTAAGGAGGTTTGCTTTTTTTTTTTTCTTCCACGGAGCTTCATTTCTCCGGAGCCAGCGCTAAGACAGGTCGCTGCTCCGGCTCTTCCCGCAGCACTCGGGGAGATCTTATTTATTGGTACCTATTTATTACTACTTCAGAGTGCTCTGAAGGAAGATTTGTTCCTCTTCAAATATATATAATTTCTTTTTTTTCTCTTATTTTTTAAACTTTTTTTTTTGTTGTTGTTGCTGCTTTCTGAAAAGCAGAACAAGAATACATTATTTTTTTTCTAAAGCACTGAGAGTGCACGTATTTTCTTGGCCAAAGTTGCTTAAGTCTTCGTCGGACAGCTCGTCTTCTTGGGTTTTCTTGCGACTGAAACAACCTGCAGAAGGGTTTGCTGGGACTCGCCAGCCTTCTCTCACCGTGAAGCCCAACTAGAGGCTGAACTCGCCGCTTCRGCTTCGGGGAAGCAAAGAAGGCAAGAGGAGAAAGCATTTCCCACTTTCTTGAAGACTTAATGCTTTTCCCTTGGTCCGGGAGTGACATGATCCTCTGTGTTCAGGGGTAAGATACTTTGCAGTCTTCTGTGAAAAGCTATGCGTTGATAATTGTAATTAGGAAGGTTCTGTGGGACAGTTTTTCAGCTCGTGTGTGATGCTATGTGTTACTATAATGGAATGGAAACGGCTTGGGCTGGCCGAGTGCTGAGTTCTGKATGTCGTATGTGTCTTGCGTTTTAGATTCCAAGGCCAAAATTATGGAACATTTCTGAAGTATTCTGATGTCCGTGTTTTCTATTGCTGAAAATTCAGTGTTTTTTGGGAGAGTAAAAATAACTTGGGAGTGTGTTGTTCGTGTGGTGGATGCAGCTCAGGCGGGGACACCAACCCAACGCCACAGGTGTTCTCTAAAATCCTCTCGGAAACAGACTGCTTACAAGGGAAAAACTTCCTTGCAATTTAGGTGCTCTGGTCTATTTCTAAGGAATTCTATTCTATTGATGCTAAATTAATTCCAATTTTGTGTAAGTTTAAGTGCAYGTACATACACACAGCGTTCTGTAGAAGAGCCACGCAGGGCACACGGATAGTTCCACATCTGCATTCAGGAGAACAGGTTAACACCCAAGTGCCTTCTCTGGTATCTGTACTGATGTGTTGGTACTTCAGTGTTCCTGTGACCAGCTCGGTTCATCAACTGACGAATATCTGGTGTGCAGGAATCACCYGGTATTTTTACACATGTTGCATACTTGGAAATTGTGAGCATTTGTTTCAGCCTACACCACCACATCAGTATTTCCTATCACTCCAGTGTTCAGTGGATTTTCCTCTGAGGGAAGTCTTCCTTGTCTGCTTGCAATGACAGAAGCACGGGGAATTTTCTGCCATTTCCATCCCCCATTCCCCCCCCCCCCCCCCCCCCCCCCCCCCAAGTCTGTTCCACAGACAAGGAGAGCTCGTGCTTACCAGTAATTTCCTACTATGCAAGAGGGTTTGTTTTCACTCTTATTTTCAGTCTGCGGCTGCAGTTCCTATAGCCACGGCAAAGGGAATTCAGTTTTCAGCTTGGCCTTTGGGAAACCCTTATCTAAAGCTTTCTCTAGGGTCAACATACCAGAGCTACTGCTTCCCTTACCCAMCAACAACTTRTTATGGAGCCAGATGTGTAGACGTTTTAATGTCAATTTTTAAGACCATTTATTGCTCCATTTTCATTATCCTCTAGTATTCCAAATATCTTGGACTCTGTATTTTCCTTCCTATTCCAACCAAGCTCCCACTGGAGTGTTGGGATGTGGCTGATGRAAGAGAGAGCAGTTCCACACCTTTTCTTGTAGAATTTATACTGTGTTACAAAGTTAAGCTTATTAATAGCACAGTAACTACAAAGCCAACACTAAATTRTATCAGACATACCTGATTCTCCTGAACTTTCTTGCAGTTCCAAGGCTTTCTGAAACACTAATTGCCACAGTGCAGGAGAAGTTCATTTGCTGTTTCTTTTGAAGGGGCACCCAGACTACCAGCTAGACATGCCAAATTTCATATGGTTGTTTCCTCCTCACAGCTGTTGCAATAACACTGCTCTATTGAGTCCTGATCCTCCATGTCTCTCCTCTACTTTCTTACACGCACTATTTTACAATCCTTTTTCTGCCCCACCAAAGGGCCATCTATTTCATGTCAGCAAACGGTTTTCAATCGGTCCTTAACCCAGCAAACTCAAGAATTCTTAACCCTCTTGGAAACGTTCTTGCATTAAAAGTTGTAGTCTTGTCTTCCTGTGCTTGGAGCTGCTCTGTTTGCTCCCAGCAGCAGCTGTTCTTTCTTCAACCTACATATAAAGTCGTTTAGGACACAAGCACCTGCCAGTCWGTCAGAATTTCTAATCCTTCTCTCTTCCACCATGCCCCTTTGAGTCTACAGTGGCACTGGGGGGTTTTGTAGGGACAGAGAGGGGCATGAGGCCAGTGTATAGAAGGAAAATCGGAAATGCGTGAGCCCGGCCCTCCTCGGCTGCAGTGGAAAGACCCTCACAGTGSCTGCACAGGGTCTGGGCTCCTCCAGCCTCACACGGCACAAAGGGTAAGGCAGCAGAGCATGAGTGCAGTGGGAAACCCCATCTCAAGCACATGGGCTCTGTAAAAGAAACCTACTGACAAGTTTACACAGTTGATTTTTTTGAGGACCAAACTGAACTGATACAACCCTTGAAGGTAACAGCTTTCATCCTGATTCATGGCAGACATTTCCCGTGTAGCTTTGCTATCTCTGCCTTCCCCATCTCTCAGCCAACTCCTTATTTCCCCTCTGAAATTTGTATATAAAAAGAAAAAAAAAGTTCCATGCTATGAAAAGTTTTCTTCATATTCCTGACCTTTCCTGAAGGTAGACCAGAATAACTTTCAGGAGAAAATAAGTTCAGAGAGATTTGACATTTGGAGTGCAGTGTTTGAGYTCTGGGAGTGAATGGGTAGTGAATGGTGCAGGACTGATGTGCCTTAGGATCAGTCACAGTCATTTCAGCTCAGGGAACAGTTGGTGTAAGAGAGACACTGCTCYGCCAGCAGGCCTGGGACACCCTCTTTGCACAGCACCAATTGTTAATTAGGTTCAGTACAGAGAAGGATCACAATCAGAATATTCTGACTTGAAAGGGACTCAAAAGGATGATCGAGTCCAACTCTGAATGAATCGTATGGGGATCAAATCCATGAYCTYGGTGTTATTTGCACCATGYTCCAAGCAACTGAGCTGGTTTATGGTCCTCTCTGTGCAAAAAGGGGGATAATGGAGAACTGGGAATCTTCTTTCCCAAAAGAGGCAGGCAGCTGGGCATTTGTGAAGACAGACATTAAGAGGCAGACATCCAAGTATCTTGGAAAACGCAGCCCTCAACACCCATAAATGTATCTCAAGGAGGATTTAAAAGAGAACTCGTAGCTTTYCCARCAATGATCTCCARGTACAAAAATACATCCAGATGCACAGTTCTGTRAAAGCCCYTGAAAATGCAGATCCTGCAACCAAGGGTTGGTCCCTGGTGAGGATAAGGGCCAACAATCACTTTTATTCAGCCTGGCTTCTTACCCATTAATATAAATAAAGAAACATAGATTAGATGCTGTGAAAGAAAGCAGGTATCCTGCTTCTAAAATGTGATCTGAGGTGGCTGCACCCTGTGCCATCCCCGTCAGCTCCAGTGATGCTGTGACAGTGCCACACTGAAGACTGAGTGTATTTCTCTCAGCCGTTTTTTCTGTTGGTGTCTGAAAGAACGTCTCAGGTGTGTTGGGGACGGCATGGTGRGATGTGACACAGGATATACAGCAGGACAGAGCACACAGAGGCAAAGAACTGACACACACCGGGACATGAACTAATTCTTGCTCTGGAGCTTGCTTGGGAATGAAGACTTGCCTGACCTCTGACATCCATCCTCCTGCTGGAGCTCTGCTTTCCTTTAGGAATCTCCATGCTGCAGAGGAGGAGCACCATGAGAGCTCCAGGCTTTTTGAAACTGCATTTAGATGCTGAATGGCTACACCACTGCTCTCTCTTGGTCACAGAGGAATACATGTTCTAGAAGCCTGGCCATGGCAGAGTCTCCTCCTACTGCAATCCTGCAGGGATTACAGCCACACTGACTTCTCCATCGAGCTGTTGAACAGTGGGGTGGATGTAGTGCACAGGCTTGGCTGAAACAAGAATTCCCATTATTCTACTACACAATCAGCTCACTCTGAGTTTTAGCAGATTCATTTAGGAYCAGGTCATCCTTGAGCAGAAAGTGGGTAGGACAAAACCCAAGCTATTCCCAATTCTGCTTCTAATTATATTGCAGTAAATGACTGGCAGAAACTGAAATACCCCAACATCATAAATGAAGCCGTAATGCTGCTATAAATTGTACTGCCTCTGAAACTATGTATTAAAAGGCAGCATCTAAAAATATCAGGTTCAAATCATCCTAAATGGCAAGACAGATCAMCTTTTGTAAGGCCAGAGAGACCAACTCACTCTCTCTGTTTCTAAGGGCTCATCTTTGTGTTCTTTCCTCCTCCCTTGCCTCTCTCTGAAACAATCGTGCTGAGGAGCTGTTTGTAAAACTCAACACGTTGTTGTTCAATGCAGTATGCACTGAACTGATCTCAAGGCAAGGATAAATAGCAGAATGTGCCTTTCATTTCAGACCTCATCCTTTGCTGGCAGAGGAGAAGATCAGGAGACTGTCACTCAGGGGCATTGAGGAATTGTCAGAGCCCATCATGCAGCCTCTCCCAGTTATGGCCTTCCAGGAGGAGTCTGCACCTGCCCTTGCAGCTCCAGTTCCAGAGAGCAACCCACCTCAGACACGGGACCCTGAAGAGGACCTTCTCTGCATTGCAAAAACCTTCTCCTACCTGCGAGAATCTGGTAAGACTCAATCACAAAGTCAACAGGGCCAGAAGGGTGCAGGGACCCAACTCTGCCATCTGAGAGCCAGGAAGAATCTCCTGATCTCACTTCAGATAGGAACCTGGTTCTGTCACAGCTGTGGCTGAATCTTGTGAACACAAGAGTGAATCTGCAGTCCCTACAAACTTGTGTCATTAACTAATTTATTTATCTTTTGTAACTGAACTGAGGGAAGGAATTGCAAAAAAAATGTTTTTTCTGCTGCAGCAGCCATCAGTCTCATTCCAAGCCCCAGCACAGCAGTGACAAGCAYAGGCAGGAAACCCTTAGAACTTGGTATTAATTTCTGAAGGTCTTCTCAGCTGTGCCTCTGGTTGCTTCCCAGGCCCTGAACCTGGTTCACAACCATAGGTTGCCAGTCCTTTGATACGTTCTTTCACTAACAAATCCTTTCTCGGTTGTTTTTCCAGGTTGGTACTGGGGCTCCATCACCGCCAGTGAGGCCAAGCAGCACCTGCAGAAGATGCCTGAGGGCACCTTCCTGGTGCGAGACAGCACCCACCCCAGCTACCTGTTCACACTGTCCGTCAAGACAAACCGAGGGCCCACCAACGTGCGCATCGAGTACACTGACAGCAAGTTCCGCCTGGACTCCAACTACCTGTCCAAACCCCGCATCCTGGCCTTCCCAGATGTGGTCAGTCTCATCCAGCACTATGTCATGTCCTGCACAACAGAAAGCAAGACCGAGGCTCCTTACCCGCCTCCGTCTCCTCTACCTCCCCTGCAGAAGGAGATGGCAGCAGCCGCAGTACACTTGAAGCTCATCCGGCCGCTGGGCCGCAAGGACAGCATTCCCAGCCTGCAGCACCTGTGCCGCCTGCGCATCAACAAGTGCACGGCCGCCGTGGAGCAGCTGCCCCTGCCGCGCCGCATGGGCGAATACCTGAAGCAATATCCTTTCCAGCTCTGAAACGCGGCCCTTCTCCCTCAGGCACCAACGACTGAAGCACGAGAACTTTGTGTCTCTGTCCCGCTAAAGGTGGGCACAGTGAYGACCTGATTATCAGCAGAGACTGCATCCATCTTTCCTCTCCCCTTCTCTTCACATCCATTCCAGCCCCAGGGAGGAGTGGGTTGTTTCAGTGAGCATTGGGACACCAGCTGAGCTCTGACCCTCGGGCTGTGCCGGCAGTGGCTGTGAGAAGCTCTGTAGGCACAGCCACACTACTTGAATGTCAGAGTTGCTGTGACACCGGACATGTTAACGTTGTTATTTTCGCTATTTATTTCCATGGCAGTTTCTCTCCTCATGGTATTTTTAAAGCACCTTTTACTTTATTGGTTTTTGTTGTTTCTTTTGTGGAATTAGATAGCATAAAGGCTCCCAGCCAACTGGCAGTCAAAGCTCTGTGGGAATTTGGATCTGGATTCACATCCAAACAGCTTCTGTTTGAGCCTGTCCCTGTGACAGGTTACAGGAGTCCACRTCCAAGCTCTCCCAGGCTTCTGGGATACATGAGACTCATGACTGTATCTAGACCCACCTCTACAGAGGTAAAGACTATTTGTTTTTTCTTCCTTAGCTACAGAGAGTAGCACAACCTCAGAGGACAGTGGGAGCTCCCAGAGTTATGTGCTGCATCACATGTTGTGGGCAGGAGATTTCTTTGAGGAAGGTTATCTTCCTTGAGAGCTCTGAGCAGAGATCTGGATATTGAGKTTGGGTCAGGGAGCACTCATCCCATTTTTTTTCCATCTTCTCCATCTCCAAAGGAAGTTTGTGACAAAACATTTAGAAAGAAGTAATTAGAAACCCAGTTTTTTCATATGCAGGCAGAAGGATTTGGTTTCAGAGCACCCAGTGTTTGGCTTGTGTTTCTGAAGTGCTGTTCCCTGACCTTGCCCTTGCCTTGAGACATGGGGCAAAACCAAGGTCCCCTCGAGCAGGGGCTCAGAGACAGCTCTGCTGAGCTGCACCAGTGACACGCACAGCTTCACGATATTTATTTATTTATTTCTGGGGTAACACTTCGAGGCAGCTCAGCAGCAAGAGCTGTCCCTGTCCCCTGCTCACACGATGCCAGACTGCCACGTGCTCTGCTCCTGCCAGCATTAGTCACCGGCCACGCAGCTTCYGCCAGCTCCAGGCTGGAGCACACACTGCAAACCACAACGCTGCTGTTTGCCAGGGTCCAGGCCTCTCCTCCCCCTGCTCTGACTTGTATGTTTGTTATCCATAATTAGGCTTTTGGCTCTGGGTTTYCTTCTCACACCTCATCCCTTTCACCCCCTGCAGATGAAGCACAATGACTCTTTCCCCACTCTTACTCACAGGAGGGACAAACAGCAAATGGGATCTGTCCCAAACCAGCACAGACAGGTTGCCCCTTCATGTTCATTTGCTGAATCCCATCACCCCCACAGCCTGTAGGAGCCAGTCCATGCCATCGAGTGAGATTAGAGGAGGGAACAGACAGGTCTGCAGAAATTATCATTTCTATGATATGATAGACCCCAAGACCCCCTATCTTGTTCTAGCATGAATGAACATTAAGGAGTCCCTGTGCAGCCCTCCCTGGGACTCTCTGCAGCTCTGTAAATCAGAATAGACAAACCCCCAGCTATACCTGAGGGTTCTGAGAGAAGATGGAAAAGGATGGGATGGTGACCCAGGAGACAAGCTTAAAAAATGGGTGAGTTTCTTCCACCCTAACTTAAAGCTGCCAAAAGGGACAAGATGGCCTGATGTGCTTAGTCAGTGTCCTTTTTTTTTCTCTCCACATTTATACAAGTTTGTGCTGTTGCAAGCTTTGTTTTTGATACTTTGATGATTGACAGTGTGCATGTGTGATGTCAGGTTTGCTTTTTCGTATATCCTTCTCCCTTACCCCCTATGGCAGCAACCATGGGAAGGCACTGTGTGAGAATGAAAATTTAGAAGGCAAAAAGGAAAACTTTTTTTTAAAATAATATAAATGATAAACCACTGAAAAGGCTTCCTTTTATCCAAACACCTCTGTCTGCCTGAGGACACTGGGAACAAGGAAACTACAGCTCTCCAAGGAGCAGCAGTGATCTCAGGAAGCCTGCGCAGCTCAGCCACAGGCCTGGTAGCTATAGCTTGGGAGAAAWCAGTTGGAGAAGTGTACAGCAGGAAAGGGCATGTTTAGCTCTCTGAAACTTGCCTCCGAATTGATCTTTTCCTCGTTGGGGGTGATGGGGAGGTCAAGCTGTGGGTTTGACTCACTGCCCCAGGAGAGTCCAGGAGCTCCTGGTTGACCCCAGGCTGAAGGCTGTGAGCTCCCGTGGGCAGGGACCAGCTCTGTTCTGTGTTTGTTCTGCATTTAGCACAGTAGGGATCTCTAGGTGCTACTGCAATACAACAAATAAACAATACAGTTACTCAAAAAAGTCAGTTTGTCCTATCTTGACACAGTTGACTCTGGATTTTAAATAAACATTTTAAATATACTTTAAAGCCACTCAGTGTAAATGTCTTTGGTAAAATCCAAATGGATTAATTAATTCCCTATTCACAGAAATCCTCCTCAAGAACACCAGGCAAACTCTTGACCACTTTTTTCAAACAAACAAAAAAAAAGCCTTTAACAAAAAAAGCCCCTTGAGATACTGGGAGAATAAACACCAAACCCACTGTGGGCAGGGTTTCTGCTGCACACAGATGAGCAGATCCCAAGTCCCAAGTTAATAAGGACTGAAGGAACATTTGTTAATGATGTGAAGGAACACAGGAATGGTTCTTGTATTGTTTCTGTGTGCCACAAAAAAAACAATACAACGTAGGGGAAAGGAGACAGAACACAAATGGGCAGGCAGTGCTTTGGGTGGGAGATCSAGGGCAGATTCATTTTCCCCTTTTTTGGTGCTGTTGTGCCACAGTGTCCCTATACCTGTGGCCCTGCAGCCTTTCCCCTCACATCACCTGAGACACCACACAGCAGGTGGGGAAACCATGGGGAGGTGAATCTGCCCTGTAATATCAGGGGACACAGAGGACACCTCATCTGTTCAGCCTCTGAAACACTGAGGCAACACCACTACTGACACGACTCCACTGTGACCCCTCCGTGCTCCTCTTCCAGGAAGAGATGCCCAAGAGCTGTCCCCCGCCCTGCCCAAAGCAAGCATAATGTACTCCCAACCACTGGAAAATGGAAAACATACTCAGAAAAAAACTCCCCAACAAACTGAACTAGTTCTTCTTCATCCTTCTACCACTGTGAACCCACTGGCTTCAAAAATACGGCTTCAAAGTATTCTCAGAGCAAGTGCTGTGCTTCCTATGMCAGCCATGGGGCTGATACATGGGGCCAGCATTCCCTAGCAAATATTGTTTCCACAATCTCATCAACATGAGTCAATTGGTAGATTTCCACTGCACACTAACCAGGAAATGCTGGCAATGGCATAATCTGTTCCAGGTCAAGTGGTTAAACAATCACGTCCCTCTTGGTTTTATGGGAAATATGAAAAGAGAACTAGGGTAGGAGCAAAACACAAAACAAGTGGAAATACARAAACAATAGAAAGGAAAAGCTTCATCCATTTTCAAAAGGAAACTTTGCAGACCCTGGAAAAAACTGGAAAGAAAAATGCAGCATTTCTGACACATTAYTGAGTGATTTCTTAATTTCTTAGCTGGGCTAAACTCTTGCTGTGGGTCCATATAGGAAACCCTGTTGTTCCCTTTCCACAGGCTCAAGGTGGAAATGATTGGAATGAACCAGGCTGGCCCAGAGCTGCAGTCACACATGGTTTCACTGCATCMGCTGTGAGCTTAACAACAGCCAYTCCTGCACCTTCAGCACATTTAGTTAAAACAGGTTCGTGTTCTGCAAAGTCCTGCACCAAACCTCTGCACAGACTGAATTGAATTTTACAGCTGAGTTCCACATCTCTGGAAACAGGAGCATTCATGGACTTGCAGACTGGCCTTTATCAGCACTGAAACACAGCTGCAGCTCCTCTCCCACTGACACCTGTATGTTTTTTTGAGCCAATGTACAGGAATTTGGATTCTCTCTTGGTTTACAGTTTCTGTCTACAGATAGAAACATGGGTGTGGAGCCCTCAGAGTCTGAAAAGCAGGCTGATAGGATCAGGAATAGAAATCCCAGTTCGTGCCTGAAACCACATTACCATGGCCCAGTGCCACAGCAGAGCTCCCCTGCAGTTTGTCAGGCACATATGGTACCATTTCCTGTCTTAAATCATCAGCCTTTTGAAAAMGCAACACATGCAAGGGTAAAATAACTCATTTACGTTCACATATCCCTATCCTTTCTAACTTATTGAAATCTTAGTCCTTTCCCCAGATCTTTCAAGTGCCCAACATCCCCCAGTCCAAGCCAGGGGAGCCACCATCAAATCAAGTCAATCAGCAGAGTGTATTTCATTCTCTCAGAACAGACGTGGTCAGGGGTTTCCAGTTATTGACCTATTACATGTCATTTCTAGCCCAAATTCCTTTGTCAGTCTTACCTGCTATGCATGAAATTAAGGGAATTAAAACCAAAATTAACTGGACACTGTATGTGTGACTCTTCTGCTCTGCYAAACATGTTCTCATGTTCAAATCTGTGAGAAGCCAAGTATCACAATCCTCTCCTATCTCTCCTTAATGGCTGCTGAGACACCTGAAATCCTGACGGAATTGCACTATCCATCCTCTTCCCCACCCCAGAAATCATCAGCAGTCCAAAGGTCTGGAGTGGAGCTGAAACAATACACAGTGAAAATGTGCCAGAACTGTGACATCTTCCAGTGGGTACCAAATGACATCTTCCAGCTCCCTCAGTTCCGAGCAGCATTGTCTCAGCATTCACATTGCATTGTCAATAACCCCCACCTGTCATTCATGGGGAAAATAGGAGAAAAACCCATCAGTCTGGGCAGCTCCTTACCAAACAAACCAGTCAGAGATAAAAATAACGTATTCCTTAGAGATCTGCTCTGCCTTGGGCAGAACCGCTCATCCTCTGCCTGTTCACAGCAAGCTGGTTTTGAATTTTGAAGCGGGAGTCCATGGGCAGCAGCGCTGCCAGCATTGCCCAAGGCACGGCAGCGAGGAGGCCCCGCCGTTGCTAAGAGCGCCGATAACACGTTCAGACTCAGACTCAGCTCTTCAGAGATGTGTTTATTTTCTGCCCACACCCAGGCCTGCTTCCATGGGTTTTCCTAATGCCGGCTGCCAGAGCCCAGGGAGCAGCAACACGCGGAGGCACGGCTTTATCTGGAGGCTAATGCTGCCTCGTATGAACCTCGTGTTGATCCGCCGCTGCTGCTTCYCGAGAAACACAACCATCATGTGGCTCCTG